AAACAACTCTTGTCGGTCACGGCCAGCCTCGACGACTACGCCCACTCGCCGAAGCGTGCACAACACGCTGTCGCCGAGGCGACCGGTTGCCCGTCTCCGGCGCTGGAGCTCGAACAAGCTCCTTCTTTGCTCAACTCCCTCCGACGCGCATCGTTGGCGCTCATGCGAATCGGCCTGTCCGCCGGTCTCGCCGAGAATCGCCACTTTGTCGACGTCGGCGTCCAGGCCTGCAAGACCTTTGACCCGCCCGACCGGCCTCGTCACCTCGGCCCCGTCTGGCGGAGGCACAACAGACGCTCGGCCTCCCTGACAACCGAGATCGGCCAGTCCGGCCGTCCGCTGACGCCACACTTTGAAGAGGCAACCATCCATGACGACGACGACGACGACGACGAAGATGACGACGACGATGACGACGAAGATGACGATGAAGACGACGACGACGACGACGAATGGGGGCCTCCGGAATTCGACCCGAGCCTCGAGTCGCCCGGCCAAACCGGCTATTCTGGACTGCGCACCACTCAACCGGAACTCGTACCAACCACGCGCCATGGCAACCAGTGCTCTCCGGTGAGCAGTTACATGGACGCCATGTCGAGTCAGGCGTCCGGCTCCACGGCCAGCCTGAGTCCGGGACTTGATAGCCCCAACCACGGAGAGGAGAGAGGTTTTTATGAGGCGTCATGCTTGAGTGAACCCGTCTCGCGTCAATGCACTCGCAACGTCGACCTCGGCAAGACATCGCCGTGCAGCGAAAAGTTGCGGCAACCGAAAATGCGACCGCACGACAATCGCTTCCGTCTGACTCGACGTCACCGTCACGAGACCCACCTGCTTTTGCCCAACAATGCGAGCTGCGGCGAGGCTGAGTCGATCGTGCATGACTGGTCAGTGGAGCAGAACAGAGCAATGAAGCCGATGGCGAAGCAACTCGGCCGGACGGGCGACAGTGGGAAATCGGGCAATTCGGCCTGTTGAATAGCCGAGTTGCAGAGCCGAGCTGACCAATGCGAATCCAAAGCAGCCAAATCCCTATTCCACAGATCGGGCGCTTCACCTCCCATTTGATGGTCTCGAATTTCCCAGCCTTTCTCGACTCCCTCCCCACCTCCAGTCCAGAAAGAGGACCACTCTCCTACTCCACTCGGAGGAGACGAGAATTGTCTCAGTCTGCATTCCTCCTCGACGTGATTTATACATTTCCTCTAAGTCTTGCTCAGGATTTACATATCCATTCACATCGGCCATTTCAAGTAATCCCCTTCCTCTTCTCCTCCGCCTCCTCCTCCTCCTCCTGCTCCTAAGCAATCCTACCCTTTGTATCTATCTACTCATCTATTTATCCATCCATCCATCCATCCCGGCATCCATGCATCCGATAGACTGTGTACATACAACTCTATATTTTCGCCGATGCGCCTGTTGGCTCTTCGAGGTAAGTAGAGCCCAGTGTAAGATGAGTTATGCACTAGTTGTTATGCCTATATCCTTCTACCAATAACTGATATAGAAGATCATTTCAGGCCGAATGTTAAGAGGCTTGCTTCTGTAGAAGGCATCGCCGAACAGACACAATGAACCCCAGTCGTCGGGGGTGGGCGGCCTGACGGCGTAGCTCTTGAGCTGGTCGTCATGGGGACATTGGGTTGCCTCGAGACGGGTGTAGAATAGGCAAGTTTTCCGTCTTAAAAGACGACAAATTGATTCCAGGAGCCGGGAGAAGAAAAGTTTTTTCCATTTTTTCATTCTTCTTTATCCCCATTTTACAGTCTCTGGCCAGGCCCGGGACAAGAAGCCCGGCCCTGGCAACGAGTGTCAAGTGCACACTTCAATCGCACTTTCTTGTTGCACTCCACCGACTCCCCAATACCCACGAGCCTCTAACTCTTCGCCCTCCCTACCTCCCTCCCTCCCCCCCCGCTATACACACAACGCGATAGCAACCAGACCTGGGACCACCTGCGTCTGTAGACATAATGCCTGCCGGCCACGGGCCAGTCATCCTCCTTTTTGAGCCGCCTTACGTATGAAAGCGAATTGTGAAGTGTGAGGCCGCTTTCGCATTTATGGGGCCAACCAACTCTAGATTGCCTCCTACTCAAGCTATTTTCTGTTTTACCAACTACTTTTACCGA